TGTATATTTTAACCAGCATGTTTGTTTTGTATTTTGACTTTCATTTGTAACATTTGACTATGATTGCATACTTTTGTCCTTTATTTCAACTTAGTATTTTATGACCAAAAGTCTGCCCATAGATCAGGCTGAGATGCCATTTTCTAATCCTGTCTTGAACTTGGGTGTATACTTCGACTCCAAACTGAGAATGGCACAGCATATCAGTGCATATCAATGACTTGAGTTCAAAATATCATTACTATCCATGAAACATCAGAAAATTTGTCCGCTGATAACTCAGATACAGCTGCTGCACTAGCTTAGTTTTTGTTTTATGTTTAACGCCGCACTCAGTAATATTCCAGCTATATGACAGTGGTCTGTAAATAATCGAGTCTGGACCAGACAATCCAGTGATTGACATCATGATATGACAGCGGTCTGTAAATAATCGAGTCTGGACCAGACAATCCAGTGATTGACATCATGAGCATCGATCCAAGTGGGATACGATGACATGCATCAACCAAGTCAGCGAGTCTGACCACCCGATCACGTTAGTCGCCTTTTACGGCAAGCATGAGTTGCTGAAGGCCTATTCTACCCCGGATCTTCACTGGTCTGCTACACCAGCACGATCCTTGATTATCTCTCATCTTGATTACTGCAACAGTTTTTTTCGCAGGAACATCTCAAACAGACTTAAGAAATCTCCAAAGGCTTCAAAATTCAGCCGCTAGGCTGATCACTGTTTGCATGTTTGTTTGTTGTTTAACGTCGCATGAAATTGAGATACGATGATGCTCATCAACCAAGTCAGCTAGCCTGACCACCAAATCCCGTTAGTCGCCTTTTACGACAAGCATAGTCAGTTTTTAAGGCAAGCATGGGTTGCTGAAGACCTATTCTGCCCCGGATCTCACTCCTCATTGAAACAATCAGAAGAGAACATATCTCTCTGATACTAACATCTCTGCACTGGGTGAGCTGACATATGAGTGAGTGAACAAGATGGCTCCAGAACACCTCTGCGATCTGCCCAAGAGGTATGCAACAACAAGATCCCTCAGATCAACAAACCAACACTTAATTGAGCTGCCATCATGAATCATATGGAGCAAGATGCTTCAGTTCCACAGCCCCATCTGCATGGACAGCTCTGCTCACACTACATACACCAGACAATTTTCAGTGCTTTAAATCTGGAATCAAGACCACGCATGTATATCATTATATTTTCTTGAGTACAGTGCGCACCCAAGTATGATTCAGTATTTTGGAAAAAAAAATTGTTTTGAATATTATGCACAGAAAAAAATTACACCGTACCCCGTCAGCAAACTCCGTTAAACAAACGGGTGATAAGAAATTTGGTCAGTATGTTGATATACCGTTTAAATTGTATTTTTTGTTCTGCTGGGCTTTGTTTTACATTCAGGGATGTAGATTACCTTGTGTATTTTCTCATAAACTAAGCCGGAAATAGGAAATTACTGTACACATGTTTTCTTGGATTCTACCAGTGATTTGGTTAAAATTTACACAATGATATAACTTTAAAGGATTTTGCAAGGATCAGGAAAAATTGTATCTGAAACTATGTTTTTATCACGAATAATATATTCCAATATCATGTTATTTTAGTTGCAGCTTTTACTAAATATATTTAAAATAATAATAACCCTAAGCGTAGCACTCCGGTGCAGCTGATCACTATTGTCGGTTATTTTTTTTTACATGGAACAATTTGACCAGTCACTGTCGAGGCTCCCACGTACGTGATTGCGAGAACTACATATTGACATAGAAGTCAAAGTATGGCATTTATGATATATGTATCCATTTTCTGTCAACTAAAGTACACTTCAAAGAATCAATAGCGGTAACCTGACCGTGGTTGCTGTTAATAACGGTGAGTTGTGTGATCTTCCAATCACTTCACACACGGTTTCGCCGAAATTAATTAAAACAATATTAAAAGGAATTTTGAATAAAATTAATGAAATAAGTTACAAACATAAGTCCAGATACACAATGAACACTTTTTATAACCAGACAGTGTAATTGGAAGATTACATTGTGAGGATACTCCAGTATGGATTTGTTGACATGGTATTTCTGGTGTTACATGCTCATGGTGATGTCTTTGCGTTGGGAGAAAAACACATCAAAACTAGAAAGTGTTTTTACTCGTAAAAACATATGTCTCCCCCCACTCTCCTAACCCCAATTCATTCGTTTACTTCACGTTAAACCCCATCTCTTCATTCCCACCCTCCATTACTAAATAACAGAGACAAAAATAGAACTCCTAGAAATTTCAAACAACTAATGGGCACCACTTCAGCATCTAATCAACACCACTAATCCCTCAATCATTTACCCACCTGACAGTGTAGTTATCTAAGTAGCACAGTTTTCTTGTTACTGAAGTATTTGTAGAAAATCCACTTAAAGTACTAATAGAGTTTGGACACAAATATATTAATATCCCCAACATATCAGAAATGATGTAGCAATGTTATATGGCACAAAGGAAAGTCTCTGTGATGTAATTGCCCGTGTATCTGACTCTGCAGGTCTTCTACACAATGACATATGTGATGTCATGGAAACTGTAATAGCAAAAGGCACCACTTCAGTGCTGGGTTAATGTGTATACAAAGTTTCGCGAAAAAATATTAAACGGTTTCTGAGTTATGGTCAGGAAACAAAGCTTACCCCCATTCAGAGCCTATGTTCAACTTATCTCCATGGAAACGAGAAAAAATAAAAATGTCAAAAATCTCTAAATAGCAAAAGGCACCACTTCAGTGCTGGGTTAACGTGTATACAAAGTTTCGCAAAAAAATATTAAACGGTTTCTGAGTTATGGTCCGGAAACGGTGGGAACGCCGACGCCGACGCCGACGCCGACGCCGACGCCGACGCCAACACCGACGCCGATGCCGACGCCGACGGGAACCGTGCCAAAAACAATATGTCTCCCTCCATTCTGGGGGAGACATAACTCATTATGGCAGTGTCTAATGGGCACCCCCTTCTACACAGCTGTAGTTTTTTGGAAAAAAGTGCTCACTATACTCAAGAAAATATGTGGCTGTGAGATATCTGCTGACAAGGGAAATCAATAATCTTGTACAAGTATTATGTGGCTGTGTGAATACTGATGACAAGGGAGATCGATAATCTTGTACAAGTATTATGTGGCTGTGTGAATTCTTCTGACAAGGGAGATCAATAATCCTGTACAAGTATTATGTGGCTGTGTAAATTCTGCTGACAAGGGAGATCGATAATCTTGTACAAGTATTATGAACCTGTGTGAATTCTGCTGACAAGGGAGATCGATAATCTTGTACAAGTATTATGTGGCTGTGTGATATCCGCTGACAAGGAGGGTCAGGAGAAACAAGGTTCAATGTTCATTTAAAGATTATCTCACTTGTATAGTGACATGCATGCATGGTTGCTTGTACTGAGACTCCTAGCTGCAGTCACACATATTTTGACCCACTCAGACACATTATATGACTTGAGCCAGGGAGTCCTTGTTTTTAACCCAGAATGCCAGGAGCCAGGCAAGGTAACAACAAGTACCATCTGTTAATACCTTTAGGTATGATGCGACAAGGGGATCTTCTGACCGCCGACCGTGTTCTCTCTGGGCAGACACTATCCACTACAGGAGGTGGACTGTTGACAAGACAATCAACATCAACAGTATTGTAAAAAATATTCCATGGTTGTTTTAATTCTGCTGACATGGGACACTACATTCATTGTGTCAAAATGCTCTATCTGATGTGATTTTGTGTGATATAGTACAAAGACTTCAGGAAGACTAACATGTTCGGTCTCACACTATTACGCGATCTAAATTTAGTGTTCTCATTATACAATAAACACACTGAACAACACAGGTTTATCTCCTCAATAATCACAACTCCTACTATGCCAACTCCTGGTAACTGAAAATGGAAATATTGAAATTAAGAATTATAACAAACTTGCAATGTCTTAGTAAAATAAGGTATTTTATTTCATCGTTGCACTTTCTCTTATCACAGGCTTTATTGATCCTGTAAGAAAAACATATTGGACAAAAACACATCACTGACTTCAAAGTGTAAATGTCACACAACTGCCCATCACCGTCGCTAGGAGTCTGATGTCCCTTCAACTGTATCGGGGCAATATCTATTTGCGTTTATTGAGGCATAAACAGAAAACCGGCGTGTGCACACTGTGTACATTCACATAGCATATCAAACATCAAACTCAAAGGACTCCTCAACTTGGCAGCCATATTGGCTAGAGGATTCCTGCATGTTCAGTGTAACCTGTTTAAAGTGGCTTCCGGGTGTGAGTGAGTGAGTGAGTACTTAAAAATGGCTTCCGGGTGTGAGTGAGTTAGTGAGTTTGGTTTTTAACAGTGCTTTTAGCAATATTCCAGCAATATCACGACAGGGGACACTAGAAATGGGCTTCACACATTGTACCGATGTTGAGATTCAAACCCGGGTCTTCGGCGTGAAGAAAACATATCAAGCTATCTGTAGGTCAAAACAATCAAACCACAGACACAGATACTGCAGGGACCATCATGTGACATCATCTGACATTTCTGACATGCTTGAGGGATGCAACTCACTCAAGTGTGGCACCTTAGATATAAGCCCTATTCAAATAAACAAGATTTCAATTGTATATACTGAACAAAAAAGTTGGGATCATGAACTCTTTGTAGCGAACACTGAGCACACAATTTCATAAAAATATTACCAAAAATATTCATGATCCCAAACGTTTATTGTTCAGTGTATATAACCTAAAACAAGCCTAACACAAAGACAAATTTAACACAAGATATTACGTAAGACTTGCAGAATAACACAAGACTAGCACAATGCTAACACAAGGTTTACTCAAGACTAGCACAATGCTAACACAAGGTTCACTCAAGACAAGCACAATGCCAACACAATGCTAACACAAGGCTAGCACAATGCTAACACAAGGTTCACTCAAGACAAGCACAATGCCAACACAATGCTAACACAAGGCTAGCACAATGCTAACACAAGGTTTACTCAAGACAAGCACAATGCTAAGACAAGGCTAGCACAATGCTTGAGGCTTATGGTGAACACTTCCTGCCATCCGCTCCCTCTGTAGTAGCACCTTCTCATCCTTATTGTGACGTGCTTGGATCCGTCGGAGTAGGTCCGGCCACAACATCTTGCAGTCAAGTCTGACCATGCTGAACCCCGGACTCCACTTACTGGTCTCAATCTTCAAGTCAGCCTGATCTTCATAGTCACAGAAATGACTAACTCTTTTTTGCACCTGGGCAAACGCAGCTACTTCCTCAAAGAAATCACCACCCTGCTTGGCAACCGTTTCCCAGAATGTTTTGTTAAAATGATCGTAAAGTTTGTAGTCGGCGGGACTCCACTTCTTGTATATGGCCACCAACTCTGGGTCAGGTTGTGTTTCCTTGTAAGTGTAATTACCATCATTGACAGATTTGTACAGAATATCATGAAATGTCCAGCACATTTTACGTTTCAGGAGTACAAGAGATTCATGAAAATATTCGACAAGCATCATGAAGTAGAACTCCTTCCCAAGGTCCTGTATGTACCGGTCAACTGCTGAAGGATCACCAGAAATGTCTGGCCGTCCAGCAGGGAAACCCAGCGGCATCCCGTGACAATGAGACATCAGGTTCTTGGTCATTGAGAAACCATCAGGGATACAAAATCGAGGCTGATGTTTTTCAGGACTTTGATAAATAGGTTCATACTTTTCTAAATTATGTAAATACTCACTTAACCCATTCCCACTTGTAATGTTTAATATTTGTAGCACCTTGAAATAGTTTATCGTTGACTTGACTTGACTAAATGGTTCTCGTATGATGGAGATATACAGAGTATCTTTCGGCATAATTTTCTGCATAATAGTTTTATTGTAGATTGAATGTTCCATGACGATGTTATAACCACGACTAGATGGGCGATAGTCAAACCTTGTCATCAAATACGGCCAGCCAAGATACAACTTATCCTTCACTGGCGTCAAAAAAGAAAGATTTCGGGTGTAACCAAACCGACGAATAATGGTTGCCATGGTTTCCGTAGCACATTTCATGCACTTGATGAACACAAAGTTTTGCTTTTCTTTGCAAGTTATTGAATCCAAATGTAAATCTTGGTAACTGTCCACAGCAGCTCCACCATCATTTTCTTTCCTAATTTGTGCAGCAGCTTCAGCATCACCCTCCCCATGTTCACCACGTCCTCCATTGATGCTGATTTTGTAGTCTTCAATGGGGAGAACTACCTTCTCTTCAGTTTTCAAATTCATTGTCCAAAATGTAAGTGTCAAGTATAAAGTCACAGCGATGCAGCTCACAAAAAACAGACGGGATCTGCACAACATACGCCACAACCTCATCTTGCTGATCACAAACTGGGGTGTTATCAAGTAGAATATAACTTCAATTAATCCTGTGTACACAGCATAGGTCTGCCTTATCACATAGGTGTGGTATAATGCAGCTATTCAGAGTTTTCACCTTATATGATAATAACCACCAGCCTAGGAAAGTAAGGCAATGGATAAATATCTCAAACTTCTCTTTTTTCAAAAAGGTAGAGATCCCTGGTCTGTCAAAGCTAGGTAAACAATCAGGTAGGGTATTCAAGTGTTTGTCACTTTCTGGTCAGTTTCTGGACTGTTTCTTGACTAACTCTAATTCATATAGATGTTTTCATTGTTTAGTAATCTGATACGTCACAACCAGCTGTAGGGTTAATATTCACATTTATCTTCATTCAAAAGCAGACAGCAAACTTCTTGTAGTTTTGACAACAGACTTCACAATAGAAACAGGTGTTGCAGAGAAGCCTAGGCGATCAGGATCTCACATCAATACTAAGTTTTGTTATTCCAGTTATCATGACAGCTTCATTTAAAACTAGTTTCATCATTTGACATATTACCCAGTAATATCACACGATGTGTATTTCTAAGCTTCACAAACATCAGTCACAGCCTTTCTTTAGCCACCTGTTCCCTCGCATCTTTCTTGTACTACTACTGTAGTCCCGCCACTCGATGAGGAAGTAAGTCAATGTTTCGAACAGGAAAACAGCACACACAACATTAACCCTTGATCTCCAACAAGATCCCTGATCCAAAGTCTGACTGATTATCACTTGTGTCTTTACACCATAGAGTGTCAAAGAATGAAGGGACTGTGATATACGCCGCACTTGTGATAAGGGACTGTGATACACACCTCCGCTGAACACCGCTACAGGCACTGCCGTTGACCACCTGGACACTGACACAACACCACACCGTCACACAGCTGCCGAGACAGCAATGTCTAGAACCACTGTCATGCAGGACTTTGATTACCTGTAGCAGCCATGGCAACAGATGTCACTGTGTGGATCAAAATTTATTGATCTGAAATTGACCATGCAATGAGTCATATACAACAAGGGTGGTGCCGTCTCACATGACTAGTTAGTTCCCCAGCAAGCAGGGTTTTACTGCTTTAATTTCCGTGTAGCCACGTACCTCTAGATAGGTGTTTCATGCGCGTACCTGATTATCTTATCAGGCATTGGTTAATGTTTAATTTACAGCACCCTTCAGAGCTAGTGAACAGGTAATTGCACACCACCAGGCTATACTAGACACTCCACAAGTTATGTGCACAAATATCCCAAGTGGAAAACAAACAGTATATCTAACAAGCCGTTAAGTTTCAGACTAACAAATCTTGTAAATTTCCAAATCTATTTCTGATATTTTTTCAATCCTGAGCTCATGTATGACTTTGTGGTTGAACATTAGGAAGACACATAGCAAGCCTAGAATACAGCTTGGGCAAGCTGAATCTCTTTGTGTTCTATTTATAGCTTTGTCCTTGGGATAAGCTGTGACTGACTGCCACCCACTGAAAGGAAGACAAACAAAGGTGGTTCTCTCCTTATCATGCTTATGTTGTGGGTACAGCAAACACACACACCAGTGCACATCATCATACTCAGGTCATGCACTGAATATAGGTGAAACTTTGTATGATATTAATTCTCTTTGGTTGAATATTTGACCCAAAAAAGTCATAATCTTGTGTTCTATGAAAACTACAATGTTTTAAGAAGGAAATTTGTTATTGAAAAAACATAGTTTTTGAGTTTTTAATAGTCTATTCATCATAGCAACACTTTTGTATCTATAGGTGACAACTAGTCTATTCATCATAGCAACACTTTTGTATCTATAGGTGACAACTGGTCTATTCATCATAGCAACACTTTTGTATCTATAGGTGACAACAGAATGTTATAATTTTTCTCATAAACATACATTAAACCCTGAAATGTATAGATCTTGAAAACATGCAGGTGAATTTGAGGAAGAGTGAGTGGTGTATGGCTTTACGCCGATTTTAGCAATATTCCAGCAATATCACAGCTGGGGACACCAGAAATGGGCTTCACACATTGTGCCCATGTAGGGAATCGAACCTAGGTCCTCTGTGTGACAAGCGAACACTTAAACCACTAGGCAACCCCACTGCCCCAATTTGAGTCAGAAATGGCTGTGTTACATTTTGTAGAGTTTTATTTCTAAGCAAAGCCAGGATCCTTTGGCCCAGGTTCAAATCCCAGATACACACCAATTCTGACCCTGGTCTATCTGCACCAGAGCCCCATTATGACTGCCTTAAGTTTATGGAAGTATGGGAGTTACGAAAGTTAAAGCGCTTCAAATGCTTTGTGTTTATTTATTTGTTTAACACCACACTCATCAATATTCCAGCTATATGACAGTGGTCTGTAAATAATCGAGTCTGGACCAGACAATCCAGTGATTGGCATCATGAGCATCCATCCACACAATTGGGATACAAATTATATTAGCACGTTTCAGACGAAAAGCCTTTGGGAGATGAGCCTTTCATGTAAATTTCTCACTGTTAATATCAATCACTTTTCTATGGGCATTTTTTTATATTCTGATAAGGCTTTTAATCTTATTCATTACAAAATGTTGGACCCAAACTTAATGTGCGATCTTTCTGTCCCAAAGGGCAATAACTCTCCTTTTGAAATGATATAAGCGACGGTTACGGTCTGGTTCCGGAATCAATGTGCACTGCAACAACAAGTGTTTGTTTGTTTGTTGTTTAATGCCACACTCGGCAATATTCCAGCTATATGACTACAGTCATATATTGGGTCTGGACCAGACAATCCAGTGGTTGACACCATGGGCATCGATCTACGCAAGTGGGATACAGTGACATACATCAACCAAGTCAGCGAGCCTGACCACCCATTAGTCGCCTTACAACAAGCATAGTCCAGCAAGCATGGGTTGCTGAAGACCTATTCTACCTTGGATCTTCACGGGTCGCTACAACTAGTGGCATATAGAGACAGATCCAAGCTAATATGTAACCTTGCTCCACCCACAATCAAAAATGGTCATTTACTACTGAATATTTTGAACAAACACTTATTTTGTAGTAACTATTATTTGAGAATATCAACATTTGTTCAGTCTTCAACTAAAACACAATTGACACGATTGAAGATAGTGGGGAAAACACCATGAAAAACGGTATACTGCCCTTTTCTACTTCAGAAAACAGAGAGGTACAGTCATCCCCCGTATTCTGTCAGTCTGTGGTAAGATTTCACATCGATGAAATAATGCCAACTCATTATATTTATCAGTCGTTGTGTTTTTACCCATGACAATCCTAACTAATAGTTTTCATACTACCATGGACTTCCAAACTGGAGAAATGCCTACATTTGCTGCACCTGGACTTCTTTGACAGATCTACACCACAGATCAACTATCCTAATACATCCATGTCTTCACTGGGTGAGGTGAAGTGAAATGGGGTTTAACGTTGCGTCCAAGATTATTGCACTTATATAGCGACGTGCATGCACGTGTATGTGTGTGGCTGCTTGTACTAGTCTGGACTGATGCTGATTTATAGTGCTAGCACACTGAGATACCATGTCGCAGGTTAACATGGATACCCCACTCAGACACAGTATACTGACTCCGAGCTGACCAGTCCTTGTTTTAGCCCCTTAATGCCGAGCGCCAGACAGGGTAACAACAAGTACCATCTTTTAACGTCTTTTGGTATCCATGTCTTCACTAATAATTGAAGAAGAAATAACACTCAGCATAAAACAACTGTTTTTCAAATGCTACTATCATAATCAACATTTTCTCTTACATCTCATTTCATTTGAAATATACAAACCAGTCATCATACATTGAAATAAGAGATTTACCCATATTAATCTGCCCGTATTAAAGTTATAAAGTGTGTCCCATCATTTAGTGCCTTGAGTCATCACAGGTGTTAATTAATTGATCCATTTCTTACACATTTCTGATACTCATGTTCTTAAAAATAGTTTTTTGTTTGTTTGTTGTTTAACGCCACACCCAGCAATATTCCAGCTATATGACGGCGGTCTGTAAATAATCGAGTCTGGACCAGACAATCCAGTGATTTACATCATGAACATCGATCCACACAATATGGGATCGATGACATGCATCAACCAAGTCAGCGAGCCTGACCACCTGATCCCGTTAGTCGCCTTTTACGACAAACAAGCATAGTCGCCTTTTATGGCAAGCATGGGTTGCTGAAGACCTATTCTACCTCGGATCTTCACGGGTCTCTTAAAAATAATAGTAAAGTACAGCACAAGATGTGTATGATACATAAATAGATGTAAATGATAGTTGTATCTTCTTGTTTTCGTAGCGTATGTTGAAAAGCTATTTCCCTTACAACCCATGCAATATCCTGCTATTGCTTTATATCCTGATTTTCATTCAATAGTATTTCAAAACACCTGCAGTATAAAGTCTATTTATTAGATAGCAAATATAATTTTAATTACAAATGAGAACGATGAATTGCAAAATAACACAAAATCAGGAATAGTCTATAAAATGTCAATAAAGACAGCAATGAATACCCAGTACCAAACAATATCTGCTCAGTTTTTTTCATTCTCATTGCTGGAAAAAGTTGTTTTAGAAATTATCATGTTGCTATGTGTACAAGCTGACATCTTGAACGGAGATAGGCACAACGGTAGGAGGAACAGCGCATCACGTACTGCACGTGCTACATAATATACGTCGTTGTTGACTGACAAGATGCACCACTCAGCTGGTGTGAAACAGCTGATTTTTAAGGTGTATGATTTCTTTTGATGTGAAGCAGAAAGAGGAAAAACCATTTTATGCCATTAATAAAAACTTGAAAAAAAGCTTCTAAAGCTCTTGGCATGTCTCCTAACAAGCTGAAAAATGTTGTCTGTCGACGGGACTCTTGCAATCAGTCGAAGGAGGTGGGGAACATATCAAAACAATGTAGGGTTGATAAATTAGACAGTTTTCAGAAAACCAAGTAAAACGTGCAATTGTTAAACTGCATTCAGAAAATATGCACATGTCAGTAAGTGAGTGAGTGAGTGAGTATGGTTTTACGCCGCTTTTAGCAATATTCCAGCAATATCACGGCGGGGGACACCAGAAATGGACTTCACACATTGTACCCATGCCGGGAATCGAACCCGGGTCTTCGGCGTGACGAGCCAACCCTTTAACCACTTGGCTACCCGACCGCCCCCATGTCACTAAGACTCTTGAAGAAACTGAACATAATTTTCTTGTTGCAAAATACAAGGGCATCTTCTGCATCCATTTGGATACAGAAACATAGACGTTATCCTGTCTTACGAATAAACATTGTATTTAGCGAGCCTTGATACATAGTGTTATTGAATAAACACTATGTATTCAGCTCATATTTCCGGTGTTACGTGCTCGCGGTGATCAGATGGGGGAAAAACATCAAGTGGTTTACTATTACAATATAAGCAGTCATGGTCATCCCTGATACCCCATGTAAATACCCCATGTAAATACCCCATGTAAATACCCAATGAAGCTTGTTCAGCATGTGTACAAAGGAGCTAATTTCCGAAACACAATTACAAGCTTATATACTTTCCGAGTCAAGCCTATATATTTACAACAGTTATATACATCTTAAACATTTTTTTAAAATCTTAATATGTTAACTAATTTTGGGAAAACCCCAAAAGAGTGACGATTAGATGTGTAAAACAACATTGGTTACCCAATGAAAAATTAAATAACCCAATTACAATAGAAACGGTAGAGTTAAAACTCAATTGCTCAAAAAGTTAACATGTACCGCTCATATTGCTTGTATCGCTCGTATCGCTCGTATCGCTCGTACCACATGCACATGCATGTCTTAAAAGGTTGGACCCTCCGGGGCAACAGACCTCGCGGATTAGTGAAGGGGAGATAAATTGACAAAGATCCCCAATTGTTTGTGTTCGAAACAAAGTACATAAAAGTATTTCAACTTCCCAATCAAACTTACTATTAATGAATGAGCAGGTTTAACTTGGCAGGAGTTTGAGTTTGTCGATGGTTTCAGACTCGTGTCTACCGATTCCATTTATCGCCAACATTAACTTTAGTCTTATGAAATAATCAGTTGTTCTTTAACTTCTTTTGAGTAGTATAATGTGCAATGTCCTCTTATGTTACAGCCCTCCACATGATGAGTGAGTGGACGAATTAACTTTAATGCCACAGTCAGCAATGTTCCAGCTTCTATATTCGCTGTAATAAGCACTCCGGGCTCTTAAAAAAATGGCAAAGAGGGCACTTCTTAAAACAAAAACAAGGAGTTAAATCTGTCTTCAGAGTTGAAACAGAAGTGAACACACATAGTTCAAACGTCGAAGACACTATAACATTTTGGTTGATAAAATGCTGATTTGGTTGTTAAAGTAAAATTATTAACAGTTTACCTATAGTGTTTGTGATTTTTAGAGTAGGCTCACACATTGTGGTCACCTGATCCCCATCTTGCTGGGTATCACATGCATAACTGCATACAATTGTTAGCAGCAAAGACATCACACTTGTGCTCCCATGGTGGTATGGTTCGTCAACATACGACCTGTTAGCTCCCTTCATATCGACTTACTTGTATGACCATGAAACAAGAAATAGTCTTGGTTCTCAGGCACCAGCCGCATCATTATTAAGTCTGCTGCACATTTTGTTTTTATTTCCATTTAAAAAAAAAAAAAAAAATCCTAATATTTATGCGATCCAGTATATAGCATGTAGTTACTTCCCTTTACATGTGCATTGCTTTACTGCACATCTTGTGTTATGGTCAAGGCGGCAATAGGAGTTTGTATGCTTGTTTATGTAGGGAGGCCTTTTTCCAGGTTGATGGTACACAACTGTTTATTTGGTTACAAACTATAGTTTGAACAAACAAAAACAAACACACAAAACACTACCTGCCCGCACTATATTTTCAAAAGTCATTGCCTGAGAACTAATTCTTTTATTTTTTTAACCTAAACCAATAACAATTTTATCTGCATAATGTGACCTTTGACCTACTTAATATTGACCATATGTGGCAATGGGTTGAATGACCGACATCACAGAAGCTCAACTGATCTTACCTACAAACTAAATATCTAGGTTACTGTCTTACCTCGTTCTCTGATCTAGGGGAGATAATCCGCCCTCCTTGTTTGAAGCCAAGATGGCCAGTGTTTGCAGCAGTTTCTATGTCTAGCAGTTCCTCATCCTCAATGGCTCGCTGATCCAACTGACCATCGTTCAAGACATCCGGCTTGGAGCGACGTCCGTACGTCTTGCCACCCAGTACATACTTTGGTGTCACATGGACGTCTGAAACAAAGTACCTGAGGTTCAGGATGTTTCACAGATGTGCCACCATGGAAGGATTCCATGTTTTTAATACCAGCACAATCATCATACATTCATGTGCACTAAGACTCGCAGATAAATGAATTTTCAAAAGACAAAATCAATTATGATCATTCAGTGTTTGAAATAAAAATGCCAGGCTGCCATCAGGACCAACAGAATTTAAAAGCTGCAGGCCATTGTAAAACTCTTCAGGCCAGCTGATTGTGACATACCGTATTCGACGTAGTAAGCGCCCCACTCTAACAAACACCCACGGCGATATTTGCTAATATATTGGCTCGTCAACAATCCCAATTAGCACCCCTTCCGATTGATTAATGTACACAAGACTTACTTATTCGTGTATAATACACTTCCGTGTGTTAAATGCACCCTTTATTATGGGCAATTAAAATCTGGAAAATATATCTGTTGTGTTTAATAAGCACAGACTTCTCTTTTGTATCATTTCAGGCTGTCAGCATAAACCACGAAATTTACGATCTTTCAACTCTTTTTTTCTCACCAAAATAATATTCTAATACGAGCTCCCTATTTCTAATTTTGAGAGCGCCCTGGGTGCTTATTACGTCAAATACAGTATACGTATGTTGACACATAAATTTACTGCAGGCAATAAGGACCTTTACAAATTTGAAACTACAGGCATGACACAAGATCTACGGGAAAGGGGCAGGAGCTTTTTGCGAACACTTTGATCTTGTATCTTACACTAATGCAACATTGATGATGTGGCTAAAGTAACACTAATGTAAACTCCTCCTGGCGCCTTTGTTGTCCAACACTCATCAACTATGTAATATAACCATTTCAGTCACATGACACAAGTGAGCGAGTTTGATTTTACGCTGATTTTACGCTGATTTTAGCAATATTCCAGCAATATCACGGCCATGAGACACCAGAAATGGGCTTCACACATTGTACCCATGTCGGGAATCGAACCCGGGTCTTCGGCGACATGACACAAGACAAATATATTCCTGTAGTGCTTTTCTCAACTTCAAAGATACAACCAATTATCTGAGCTCCAGATATGCTTCATATTTGCATAAGACACTAAAATTAAATCACAATTACCAACTTAATTTGGAGTTGCTTGTACAAGTGAAAAATGTAAAAATGTAATAGTATTATACAATACTGTGCGTAATTACCCAATGTATCAACATACATGTCCTTTCACATATTTTTTAGAGGTGCAATGTCTCAGCTATTGTTAATTAGAAGTATATCGCTGTTGTCAGTTTATGCAACATGTTACACATTTAGGGTAGCAAACAAACAGATAGAAATTAGAAATCACCTGAAACAGTATTTTAAGCAGAAATATATTCTTTAAATGTCTCTCGGTGCTGTAAAAATACCCAACAGACTGCAACCTTAGGGGAAAAAGCATAATGAAATCCCAAAAGAAAGCAATCAATACCCCATGTGAATGAGTGAGTGAGTTGTGTTTGAGTTAACAGTATTCCAGTCATATCACGGCGTGTCAGCTTAATGTGGGAGGAAAGCCCGAAGTTGTGCAGGTCTCAGACAAACCTAGAAACATAATCGGGGCGAACCGGGATTCAAACACACAACTTTAGGTTTCTGGTGTGCCCAAGGGATGCAACTCTGCACAATGAATTGCAGCACCTTAGATGACTGGGCCACCCGTGCCTCCCCATGTGAATGATAAATTGTGAGTAAACACTTAATAGCTCAAATAATTATCAGGCATACATGAAGTTGCAGCATTAGTCAAAGAAGGTGTCTCACCCGTTTTCTTGTCGTCATCTAAGTTCAGGGGTGCTACATCCTGTAGGATGCCAACAAAAGCTTCCTTGAAGTCATCAAACTGCACCTGTCATGAAATTCAGATTGATTTTTGCTAACAATATCTTCAACAAGTTTTCAGTTTTCAGGACAAGCATTAATATTTTATTAGTACCTTTAAAAGAAGTTTCTGCTCACTGACCAAGTTGTGTGCTTGTTTTGCCGTTTTAAAATTTGGTCAATAAAAACATGATTTTTTTTATAAAACATCACTAGATATGGTTATTTACAAATTTAACGGTATTTGGGTACTGTATGGCGGACAATGTTTCATACGCAGAGAATAAGACTACATGTGTGGGTTTCTCGTAAAATAAGCTGGAAATAGCGATCAGCTGTTTTATTCAATTTAAGAACCATCGAAACAACATTTATTAATATTTGTCAATATTACGTATAAAAGTGTATTACCAAATTTATAGAAATGCTCATAAAATATATAATGAACAACCAATCATAAACCAGTTCTGTGGTCTAATGGTTAGAGTGCTTGACTGCTTAACAGGAGGTTGCAGGTTCGATTCCTGTCATCCAAAATGAAAACATTACAATTGTTGTATTCAATTTTAGAAATTGGACATTTGCAAAATTTGAAAGTCCAAACCTTATTTGCGTCTCAACTCATCATGTCTTACTCCGAAAAAGAAAAATCTCATACCCTGGATGAGGTCTCACTAGGAAAAGGAGTGAGTGAGTGAGTGAGTGAGTGAGTGAGTGAGTGAGTGAGTGAGTGAGTGAGTTGGTGGGTGGGTGGGTGGGTGGGTGGGTGAGTGAGTGAGTGAGTGAGTGAGTGAGTGAGCGAGCAAGCGAGTATGGTTTTACACCGCTTTTAGCAATATTTCAGCAATATCAGAAATGGGCTTCACACTTTGTACCCATGTGTGGGGAATCGAACCCAGACCTTTCGGTGTGATGATTGAACGCTTTAACCACTAGGCTACCCCACCACCCCTATTATTGAATGGCATTTGTCCATGGCCCATATTGGCTGTCCTACATTGGTCAGACAGGTGAAAGTAGACGAACATGTGTTATCCAGCTCACCTTTTTCTTGTCGCTGAGCACTTTGTCCAGGAGTAGGTCCGAGTACTCCTCCAGCTGCAGACCCTTGCATAGATCCAGCAGGGCCTCCCGTCCCAGGGCGCCCTCCCCCGTCTTGTCAAACATGTCAAACACCTCCCGCAGCTGGGAGCTGTATTCCTCCGACTCCGCCATCATGTCCTGCAACACATATACCCACACACTAAATACATGCCATCATATCCTACAACATATACAGAACAAATGCAACAATGACAGGATCACCATCATGTCCAATAACACATAATGACATATGCCCACACAGTCAGTGAGTGAGTTTGGTTTCACAACGCTTTTAGCAATATTCCAGCAATATCACGGCAGGGTACACAAGAAATGGGTTTCACACTTTGTACCCATCCCGGGAATCGAATCCCGGGTCCTTGGCTAGAACAAACGCAACTCTGCCAGGCACTGCCATCAAGTCCAATAACACATATACTCATACACCAAATAAACGCAACACTGACATGCTCCGCCATCATGTCCTATAACACATATACTCATACACCAAATAAACGCAACACTGACATGCTCCGCCATCATGTCCAATAACACATATACTCATACACCAAATAAACGCAACACTGACATGCTCTGCCATCATGTCCAATAACACATATACTCATACACCAAATAAACGCAACACTGACATGCTCCCCCATCATGTCCAATAACACATATACTCATACACCAAATAAACGCAGCACTGACATGCTCCGCCATCATGTCCAATAACACATATACTCATACACCAAATAATCGCAGCACTGACATGCTCCGCCATCATGTCCAATAACACATATACTCATACACAGAACAAACTCAACAGAGACGGGCTCCACCATTACATACAACAAATATACTCATATGCTGAACAAACACAACACGGACAAACTCACTCACCAAGACTTGAACCACATATACTCTTACACTTAACAAATGTAACAGTGACAGGCTCTCCCAGCTGAAACATACATAGTACTCACACTTTAAGCAGTAATATTTTAATCAGTTTGCCTGTCCCACTACTTGATCATGGTGGTTTGTGTACAGTATGGTGTATGTCATGTCTTACACTGATCATTAAATCAGCTACAACAGACTCCAAAGAATGAAGTTTGTAACACCACAATCCCCCACCTGAACGTTACCCTTTATTGTAACTCTACCCCACAGTAACACCAACATGCAACAAAAGGATTTTTTTTCATTTTTATTGGTTGTTGGTTTGTTGTTTAACGCCGCACTAAGCAATATTCCAGCTATATGACGGTGGTCTGTAAATTAATCGAGTCTGGACCAGACAATCCAGTGATCGACATCATGAGCATCGATCCACGTAATTGGGATCAATGACATTTATCAACCAAGTCAGCGAGCCTCATTTTTATTGAAGTTACTATGGTCATTTACATGCTTTCCCCTTTATTCACTGGAGGATTGAGATTATTTAGCATGTTTAGCACACTGGAACAATAATAACATGACACACTTTACATGCACGTGGCCCATCGGTGTGAATTACAAGTCTGTGTTGCTCATCCATAATCCTCGCCCTCAATGTAATCACAGCTCATGCTTTTCCTTTAACATATGACAGGATGCTGGTTATACCAAAGACATCTGTCTACAGTGTTGAAGCTTCTTGTATGACAATGTCAGTGGCATGGATGACATTGTATAAGCCCTGTTTAAATAAGCTCCTGGTTCCTGAAGGGCACACACAGAAATCAAATTTGTTTGTTATCAAGTTAATGATATGAGGCCTGTGTTAATGTACTTTCGCACAAGTCAACTGGACAAATACATGGTAAAGGAAAATATGAACACACTTGCATCAAAATTGCAAGTGCTTATTATCTAGCTCTTTTTCAAATATGGATGGAAAGTATTCTTTGTGGGCACACTTAGATTCCAAAGGGTATACATAAACATCCTTATGGGTTCCTTGTGGAACACTTGAAAACAAACGCATATCTGTGCCTGGTCTAACAATATCAGAGGAAACCTCTCACATTTTAAAATCCAAATTTTCCTTATTATTTGATGATAACCCCCCAAAAAAATTCAGTACATCGCGTAACCCGTAACGCAGTCATAATAGCTTGTACTCGGTGAACAAGGAAAATGGGTTTCAATAGCTTCTCCAACCTGACAAAAATAATGTTGCTATACTTCCCTCAAGATAAACATTTCTTTCAAAACTGAACACAACTGGAGGCCTCTCGGAGCAACTTTCTCATGGGAGTGAATAAGTGAGTGAGTTGTGTTTAACACCGCTTTTAACAGTGTTCCAGTTATATCACTGCGTGTGAGCTTAATGTGGGAGGAAAGCCCGAAGTGATGCAGGTTTAGACATGTACCACTTTGGTGAAACCCACGAGCATTGGTATGGTGCTGAAACACCTAGAAACATAATCAGGGTGAACCGGGATTTGAACCCACAATCATAGGTATTTTGAGTGCCCAAGGGACATAACTCTGCACAGTGAATTGCGATGCCTTAGACGACCGGGCCACCCGTTCCCCAACTTTTTCATGGAATAACCTCATCTGAGCATCATAAGTATATACTAACAACAAAGTATTGTTATCAGTGTAGGTAATCTAATTCATGAAACTAATGCGAGTATCGTCCCCTGGCCAAGAATGTGGCATGAAATCAAACCCTGCCAATGAACTATAAAATCTAATCAGCAAACAAGAACAATTCTGGTAAGCAAGGATAGGTTGAGTTGTGACCTTACAATTAATCCCTGTAGGACTATGTATGAGGTCCACCCACTGGCCGGTATCATTGTGAAGAAGGGGGTAGCGAATGGTCCGTGACATGTATGATGGATATGTGTGTGTCCTGTCTAGGCTAACGTATTCTAGTGGCATGTTCAATGGTACATAACAGTACGTGCAGATGTGAGGTACCCGGTGACCTTGAAGATGGTAACAGCATATTTGCACAGATAACATTTGTTTTTGTTTGTTTGTTGTGGGACTGGATTGGACCAACACCCATAAGGGAGTCTATAATTTAAGTTTGTTTGTTTATTTGTTGCCCCACTCAGCAATATTCCAGCTATATGACGGCGGTCTGTAAATAACTGAGTCTGGACCAGACAATCCAGTGATTGACCTCATGAACATCCATCCACGCAATTGGAATTCGATGACATGCATCAACCAAGTCAGCGAGCCTGACCACCCGATCCCTTTAGTTGCCTCATACGACATGCATAGTTGCCTTTCACAGCAAGCATGGGGTTGCTGAAGACCTATTCTACCCCGGATCTTCACAGCTTGCACAGAATACAAATGATAAGTATCGTGACAATAAAAGGAATTCATTTGCTGTTTAATAGAATACTTTTTTTACCCCTAAGATCAATAATGAATGGTGTCATGTCATTCATCAAATGATTGTGAAAGTTGAGACCTTAGCGTAGTGAAAGTTGATTCAATGAAATATTCCTTACTTAATCCCATGTGATTGTTTGTGGGGTTTCAGCATGCTGTAGACGCAGAACAGTATGTCCATGTTGTTTTAGCATGGAATCTACTAGGTACACGGGACCAGATGTGTTAGATTTTGCAAGAAACAGCAGTTCGGCTTTGAGCATCTTGCCGTCAAACTTAATATCATGCTTATATTTCAGATGTTTCTCAACTTGCTATGATATGGCGTGTTGTCCAAAACAATTACCAGACTTGGGGAGGAATATTGGAGATCAGTTTTTCCTGCAGCCGTTTGGAGAACTTATCAAAATTCATCTTTTCGTGATAATCACCTGTTTTGACTTTTGCTTCAAATAAAAGCAGTGTTTTAGGTACAAATCCATTCTCAGACCCTGCATGTACTATTATCAGCTAAGGTCCAGCCCCAAACAGGTTGAACCCTCCCTACAGCCATAGCACCCTCCAATACTAGGATCAGCTGAGGTCCAGCCCCAGACAGGTTGAACCCTACCTACAGCCATATCACCCTCCAATACTAGGATCAGCTGAGGTCCAGCCCCAGACAGATATCACCCTCCTTACAGCCATATCACCCTCCAATACTAGGATCAACTGAGGTCCAAGCCCCAGACAGGTTGAACTCTACCTACAGCCATATCACCCTCCAATACTAGGATCAGCTGAGGTCCAGACCCCAGACAGGTTGAACCCTCCCTAAAGCCATAATCACCCTCCAATACTAGGATCAGCTGAGGTCCGGCCCCAGACAGATTGAACCCTCCCTACAGCCATATCACCCTCCAATACTAGGATTAGCTGAGGTCCGGCCCCAGACAGGTTGAACCCTCCGTACAGCCATATCACCCTCCAATACTAGGATCAGCTGAGGTCCTGCCCCAGACAGATTGAACCCTCCCTACAGCCATATCACCCTCCAATACTAGGATCAGCTGAGGTCCTGCCCCAGACAGGTTGAACCCTCCCTAAAGCCATAATCACCCTCCAATACTAGGATCAGCTGAGGTCCGGCCCCAGACAGATTGAACCCTCCCTACAGCCATATCACCCTCCAATACTAGGATCAGCTGAGGTCCGGCCCCAGACAGATTGAACCCTCCCTACAGCCATATCACCCTCCAATACTAGGATCAGCTGAGGTCCGGCCCCAGACAGGTTGAACACTACCTACAGCCATATCACCCTCCAATACTAGGATCAGCTGAGGTCCGGCCCCAGATAGGTTGAACACTACCTACAGCCATATCACCCTCCAATACTAGGATCAGCTGAGGTCCAGCCCCAGACAGGTTGAACACTACCTACAGCCATATCACCCTCCAATACTAGGATTAGCTGAGGTCCGGCCCCAGACAGGTTGAACCCTCCCTACAGCCATATCACCCTCCAATACTAGGATCAGCTGAGGTCCTGCCCCAGACAGATTGAACCCTCCCTACAGCCATATCACCCTCCAATACTAGGATCAGCTGAGGTCCTGCCCCAGACAGGTTGAACCCTCCCTAAAGCCATAATCACCCTCCAATACTAGGATCAGCTGAGGTCCGGCCCCAGACAGATTGAACCCTCCCTACAGCCATATCACCCTCCAATACTAGGATCAGCTGAGGTCCGGCCCCAGACAGATTGAACCCTCCCTACAGCCATATCACCCTCCAATACTAGGATCA